GAACCCGTGGGCTCAGGCAATCCACTCACCTCAGCCTCCCAAAGGTGCGGGATTACAGGCTGAGCCACCGAGCCCGGCTTCTTTACATATTCTTTATAAATTATTTCTAGGTTATTATAATGGCTCAGTGCTGTTGGACAAAACTGCAAAATTTTGCAAGTAAAATGAGCAATGACGACTGACTACTGAATTTAACATGATGACCCCTGACAAACAGGAATTAGAGGCAAGTACAAATATAACCAACAACTCTTTGAATAAGTGTTGCTATAAGGAGAACAGAAAAATAAGGCATAGCTAGAGGTGGAAATTAAGTCAAGAAAGTTTAAGATGGAAAAAATACCAGCATGTTTATATGCGGATGGGAATGATTAAGGAAAAAAAAACTAAGAGAAAAGAAAACAAGAAAGAAAAATTGATGATGTAGAAGGAAAACTGCCTTCAGAAGGCAAAAATGGGATCTAGCCTAAAGGGTGGGATCTGGTATACTGATGAAGAAAATAGCCTTAAACAGGAGCTATATGTCTTGTATAACTTACTTATTGTTTTTGTTTATTATTTTTCCCCACATTAACGTATAAATTCTACAAGGATAGGGATTTTTGTCTGTCTCTTCACTGTTATAGCCTGGAACCATACTTGGCACATAACAGGCTTGCGGTTAGTATCTGTGAAAGAATAGAGTGCATTCAAAAGCTAAGTGGAGAAGAAAGCACGAATATGGGTAACTTCTTTGAGAAGTTTTCCTATAAAGGGTACAGAGAAATGTAGCAGAAGCTGGAGAGGGATGTGGGATCAAATGACTTTTTTTTTAAAGTTGGGGTCTCCTCTGTTGCCCAGGCTGGAGTGCAGTGGCACCATCGCAGTTCACTGCAGTCTGGACCTCCTGGACTCAGGTAATCCTTCTGCCTCAGTCTCCAAGTTGCTGGGACTACAGGGGTGTTCCACCATACCCAGCCACTTAAAAAAAAATTTTTTTTTTGTAGAGATGTGGTCTCACTATGTTGCCCAGGCTGGTCTTGAACTACTAGACTCAAGTAATCCTTCCACCTTGGCCTCTCAAAAGTGCCGGGAGTCATCGCGTCCTGCCCTTTTAAAAAAAATAATGGGTGATATTAAAGCATGTTTGTCAGTGCTGATGAAAACGACCCAGTAGGAGAATGGGCCAGTTCATTTTAACAATGAAAGCAGAGAATACGGGCAACCATGGGGATAAGAAGCTTAGAGAAATGGTAAGCGGGGAAAGGTGAAGCTCTCCTTTGCTTCTACGAGCTTTTTTTTTTTTTTTTGAGTCAGTCTCTCTGTCGCCCAGGCTGGAGTGCAGTGGCACACTCACGGCCACCGCAGCCTGGACCTGCTGGGCTCAGGCGATCCTTCCGCCTCAGCCTTCTGAGTAGCTGGAACTACAGGCACACGCCACCACGCCCGGCCAATTTTTTCATTCATTGTAGAGACGAGGTCTCACCAAATTGCCCAAGCTGGTCTTCAACCCCTGGGCTCGGCAATCCTCTCGCCTCGGCCTCCCAAAGTGCTGGGATTACAGGCTTGAGCCACCGTGCCCGGCCACTTCTACGTTCTTAGTGAGACAAAAACAAGTTCATCAGCTGAAGCAATGATAGGGCAGACTGGAGGTTTGGGAGATGAGAAAAGTTGAGTGCAGCAGAGTGAATGTCTAGGGAAACAAGGCAGACGTGACTAGAACACCAACTTTAAGGTAGTGGACACGAATTAAACGTGAAACAACTCACCGCGGTTCTGTTTTTCTCCAGCCACTTTCAGCAGCCCTGAGTGCGGGTGTGGAATAGGAAAGACAGATTTAACCAGGTTAGTTAACAAGCAACGTGAAAGAGGGGGAAAGAGAAAACGAAAAATAGATTTTGAAATCTAAAACGGATTAGGAGGGAAGCAAAAAAGAGTGACAGTCAAAAGGCGGGCGGATCCATCAATTATAGGTCCCGGTGGGGTGGAAGACTTGTTGAAGCCGAGGTTCTCACTCATTCCCCACAAGTCTAGATCGATCAAGACCATGGAAGTCGGTGACTAAGACTAAGCTTCTGGTTCCCGCAGGTCCTTCCCAGGGAAGTTTGGGTCAAACCTCTCGGGATCCCTAAACCACATTCCACTCTGCCTCTTTTGTCAGGTTTTACAGAAGCGGCGAGGGCGGCTTCCGCTTGTTCCTCCTCCCCCTTCTCCCCCAGGCTCTGAGAGTTTAGGGCCGGGCTATCCTAATGGGCGGCCCCTCTCAAACTCACTGTTTGGACCGGTGTCCGGCGTCGCTAAACGCCGGCGAAGAACTTCTTTCCAGTCCATGGCCGACTCCCGCGCTGCAGCGCCTGCATTTGCTGGTCACTAACCGCTCCACCCCCTACCGGCTCAGACGCCAGACGCCGCCAAGCCCCATTAAGGTTAGGAAGGCCGCTCGGCCGCCATCTTGGACGTGGGCGGAAGTGTCGGCTAGAAAGACAAAAGCAAAGACTGTAGCTGACCAGAGGAAAGCGGACGTGAAAGAGATGGAAAATGATCCTCCCTAGGGAGGCGTCCCAGCCTCACCAAGTACGATTTTAAAGGCTAGGATAAGCGAGCCCGCGTTTTTATTTCTCCGTTGTGGACCTTTGGCGCGTGTGCACCACGTGACTCAAGAGTCCACGGGCGTTTCCGGCTTGCACACTCAGGAGTCCATTGGCGTTTCCGGCTCGGACGCTCTTCTTTCACACCTTTTCATTGTTCATTACGGATATCTGCAGGCCCTCAAGTTCCTTGAGTGACCGTCTCTTATCCCTTCTGCCACCAAATGCTTCAAAATTGCCTTTTTCCTCGCCGCCGAGCCCGGTGGATCGACTACGTGGGGTCAGTCTTACCCCGCGAGCCCGGGCCGGCGCGGTGCATTGTGGGCACTGTAGTTTCCACCGCGTTGATGGGCGCGTGAAGTGAGTGAGTGCTGTGGTAAGTTGTTCAGTGAAACGCACTTCGCTGGTCAGCGGTCGGTGCCCAGTCTGGGCGGCGCCCTTCCTGGATCTCTTTCCTTACCTGAGCTGTTGACTACGCAGTCCCCCATCTGCCGAGTTTTTCGGCCTGGGAAGGACCCTAGACTGGCTTTCGCTGCTGGCTTGGCTGGTGGGGCTGGGTTGGGGCCTCCTGTTCGCGGTTTTGACTTCACGCCCCTTTTCCGGAAAGCCTTCCATGGGATACTGTCACTTTTCCGGACAGATGTGGCCCACGTGGGTAAAACTGGGCGTTCCTCCTTGTGTTTTCCCTCAGGTTCGTGGACGGGAATATAACAGACACCAGAGGATTCCTGCTCTGCCCGGCTTGGGGCTTGCGACGTTGGATATCCTCCGATTGTTGCTTAATCGAGAGAACTCACCTGCCTTCGTTGCTATTAAGTAACTCTAAAAGCAGAACTTGGATTTGTCTGTATGGAGGAAATGAGGATTTCCTTTTAAAAAGTTGCTCTGTGACTCTCGGCCCCCGACCCTCAGTCTCTTAATTTTGCTGTAGAAGTAACGGTTTTTCGAACATCTCTCTCTCTCTCTGGTGCTCATCAGGGAGGTGATCTCACTGCATAATGACTTTCTGTTTGTCTGGTATTGGAAACTTTTCTAAGCTTTGGAAGAGCAACCCGTACCGAGGGCTGGGCCCAGGGCACTCTTATCTTGCTCTCTTTGTCAGAGACCACTGTGGCATCAGGAACCAACAGAGGTGGTTTTCCCTTAAAACAATATCTCCACAAAATACGAAAGCAACGAATCTTCTGATTGCCAAGGCCAGATATCGCAGGAAAGATGAGGACAGTAATCAGGTTTCTTCTGATTCTCATTTTTTGTCAGCTGGAGCAGCTAAGAAGAGGTCACAGATGAATCCTCAGAGTAAGGATCCTGTCATGCCATCTGTGAGGAACACTATTCAACTCCCAACAAAACCTTTGAATTCAGAGGAGTGGGATAAACTTAAGGAAGATTTCAAAGGAAAGGCCAATTTTGAAAGTTGGATTGGCTCACAGATGGCTCACTCTCATAGCTCTGTGAATGTAGCTAAATCTCTGCTGGCATGGGTAGCAGCAAAAAACAATGGTATTGTAGGCTATGATTTACTGGTCAAGTATTTGTCTCTCTGTGTCTTTCATAAGCAGACGTCAGAAGTTATCGATGTCTATGAAATAATGAAAGCCAGATATAAGAGTTTAGAATCTGGGGGTTACTCTCTTCTCATCCGAGGATTAATCCATTCAGACAGATGGAGAGAAGCCTTGTTGTTGCTAGAGGACATCAAAAAAGTCATGACTCCTTCAACAAGGAACTATCATGATTGTATCCAGGGAGCTCTTCTTCATAAAGATGTAGACGTAGCTTGGAATTTGTATCAGGAATTGCTAGGTCATGATCTTATTCCTCTGTTGGAAACTTTAGAAGCCTTCTTTGATTTTGGAAAAGATATAAGGGATGATCACTATTCAAACAAATTGCTGGACATTCTTTTGTATCTAAGAAATAATCAACGATATCCTGGGGAATCGTTTGCACAGAGTATAAAAACATGGTTTGAGAGGTAATTTTTATTTTTAAAATATGCATGTTTTTATTTTAATAACTATCTAAAAACACCTTTCTTGTTTCTGAAAATCATTGTATTCAGATTATACTTCTTTTCCATCCCTTAGTCAAAATGTTCTCTCTTTAAACAAAGTAATAGCATAAACAATTTCTACTCTATCCATTCCATCACATAAAAAGGAAATTATAGAGTATTTGTAGTTTTTAATGTGTTTTTTTCCTTTTAGAAGGATCATTTATTTAAAAAAAAAAAAAAAAGAAGAAGGATCATTTATTTTGTTTTCCTAGACATCTAGTATGATGTGAATACTTACGAATAGTACTTGTGGCCAGAATTCATAGTAAGAAAAGGATATAGTATTAGGCTACATCTATCCTTGAGACATATTAGTATTTTCAGAAGTTGCTCTGAAATCTAGTGACAGATTGCTTATATTTGTCTAATGTGCTTATATTTATTCTGCTTTATATTTGTCTCTGTATTTCATCAGATGGTTACAGTGGACAGGTGGATCCACTGACTTGTGGAAAAGCTTCATCCTTCCAATCTGTTTTGAAACTTTCCATCGTTTACCTGCTCTCTCTTCAAAGCTGTCTCCATTTTTTGTATTCTTGTTACTGGCTAATGCCTGTTTATTGCTTCAGTCTTTTACTCTCTTATTCCTTTATTAGTTTTTCATGCTCTTCCTTAAAACTTCCCTCCCTCTGTTTTTCTCTTGCCTTTTTTGCTCTACATTATGTTTACAGAATTTTGAGGAAGAAATTATGCTTAATTATCTTAAACTTATTGAATATCAGGTGGTCAGAGGCCAGGTTGTGAAAAATCTTTAAATGCCAAGGAGTTTGGATTTTATTCTATTGTCAAGAATGTTGGTTTTGGAGTGAAGTTTTAGAAAGGTAATTGCCAAAACAATGAAAAGAGTAGACTAGAGAGGGCTTAAGGTTGGAAGCAGAGAGATCTGTTTGGGGGCAATTTTAGGTTTGGGTATGAGAGGATGAGAATTTTTTTTTTAATTGGAGTCTCTGTCGCCCAGGCTGGAGTGCAGTGGCACGCTCACAGCCCCCACAGCCTCGCCCTGCTGGACTCAGGTGATCCTTTCGCCTCAGCCTTCTAAGTAGCTGGAACTACAGACATGTGCCACCATGTCTAGCTCCTTTTTTTTTTTTTTTTATTTTTTTTTATTTTTTATTTATTGTAGAGATGAGGTCTTGCCAAGTTGCCAAGGTTGGTCTTGAACCCGTGGGCTCAGGCAGTCCTCTCACCTTTACAAGTGAGAGCCACCCTGCCGGGCCTCAATTCTTTTTTTTTTTTTTTGAGTTGGACACTGGAGTGCAGTGTCTGCTCCTGGCCACTGCAGCCTCGACCTGCTGGGCTCCAGCGATTCTTCCGCCTCAGCCTTCCAAGTAGCTGGAACTACAGGTGTGCACTACCATGCCCGGCTAGTTTTTGATTTATTGTAGAGATGAGGTCTCGCCAAGTTGCCCAGGCAGATCTCAAACCCACGGGCTCAGGCAATCCACTCACCTCAGCTTCCCATGGCGCGGGATTATGGGTTGAGCCACCGAGCCCAGCTACTCAATTCTTAATTCTCATCCTCATGCGGTGGTTCATGCCTATAATCACAGCACTTTGGGAGGCCGAAGTGGGAGAATTGCTTGAGACTAGGAGTTTGAGACTACCCTGGACAACATAGCGAGATCCTGTCTCTACAAAAAAAAATTTTTTTCAATAGCTGGGTGTGGTAGCGCATGCCTGTAGTCCTAACTACTTTGGGAGGCTGAAGTAGAGGATTGCTTGAGCACAGAAGTTCAAAATTGCCATGAGCTGTGATCCTGCCACTGCACTCCAACCTGGGCAACAGAGTGAGGCCCTGTCTAAAAAAAGAGAGAGGGAGAGAAAATTAAGAACTGGGAAAAGATAGAAGGCAATAGAATCATAGGAGCTTATGGTGATATATATAAGAGGAAGGAAGGATAAGTTTATTGAACGAATAAATCAATAAATAGTTTTTGAATGCCTACAATTAAGCTAGGCATTGTGGTGTTTTGTGAGGTAAGAGCTATTCTCAATTTAATTGGGAATATAATGCCAGACAGTTAAGTAACAGTGGTGTATAAGAGGAGAGAGAATGAGCCAGGTGTGGTGGTACACATGTGTGTGTGGGTTTTTTTGGGGGGGGGAGGGGAGGTGTTGAAGCTGAAGGATCACTTGAGCTCAGAAGTTCAAGCCTGCAGTGACCTATGATCAACCATTGCACTCCCAATCAGATTGACAGACTGAGGCCCTGTCGTCACTAGGAAGAAAAAAAGAGAAGTTACTGTGAATAGGAACAATCTCTGGCAGCTTTTTGGAGAAAGTTAGAGTTAAGTTTGACTTAGAGATTACACTAAGGTCAGTTGCTTTGTGTACAGCTCCCATGAAGGTAGATTTAGACTTGAAGAAGGGGAGGGTTGGATGACTGGAGGAGAAGCAAAGGAAAGAAGGAAATCAGCTCCTTAGCCCCATCACAGGGTAGCAACCACTCTTCTAATTAAACCATTCTACAGAAGTATCTTGAACTTTCCAGAGCTCTTGCTTACAGAGTTTCTAAATGCAATGAGTATCTTTCTGTTCAGTAGGAGTCTCACCTTCTGATGATTTGGTTTTGCAATCTTTTTTGTAGTCTTCCTGGAAAACAGTGGAAAGGACAATTCACCACAATACAGAAAAGGTAAAGGCCAATATTTATTTTTGACTTTATTGGTTCAGGTTTAGCAAGTTTTGTTGCTATTGATTTAAAAAGTAAGAACAACTTAGAGATAGGATAATTAAGAGCTTGTAATTGGAATACCTGAGGGGAAAAAAACCCATGTTTTGCATATGCCCTTTGTGGTACTCAAATGTTTTTCCTGTGAGTACTTTGAGGGGAAGTACTAGAGATTCCAGACTCAGTTGTGTTTTAGGAATTAACTTAAAAATTCCATCTAGCTGCCCAGCACTTTACTCTTTTGGTTTTTTTGAAAGCCGTAATTCAGAAAATCCATGGGTTTTCTGACTTACCATGCTTTCAAAAAATCAGATGCATGTGATGATCACAAAGGTTTTGATGTTCTTTTTTATTTTTAATTTCCTCATGTTCCAGGATGATTCATTTTAGAAAAAGTTTTTTTCCAGGATATTATTTAACATAAACAATTATAATTACAGTGGTCAGTGTTCGGGCTGTGGAAAAACTATAGAGTCTATTCACCTGAGTCCAGAAGAGTATGATTTTCTCAAGGGAAAAATCATGAGGGATGTGATAGATGGAGGTGACCAATATAAAAAGACAACACCTCAGGTGAGTCCAGACAGATTTTATTGCCTTCTTAGATTGCTTGTCTAGAGAGGTGTCAGCAATTTCTGTAAAAGGCCAGATTGTAAATATTTTAGATCTTGTGGACCTTAAAGTCTCTGTTGCAACTTTTCAACTCTGCTATTGTGGTTAAAACAGCCATAGATGATACATAAATGAGTGGGCGTGGTGCATGGCTGTGTTCAGTAAAATTTTATTCATGAAAACAAGCAGTAGGTTGGATTTGGTGTGCTGGCCACAGTTGCCAACTTCCAGAGTGATCGCTTTATAATTTTCTTAGTATCTAATTTTATTGTCTAAGTCATTTATAATAGCTTTATTTTGCTAACCTTCAGTACTTTATGCTGGTTTATTAATATTCAATTGAAGAGGTAAGATGCTTTTATTTTGCTTGTCCTTAGAGGAAAGACTGCTCCTCATATAACTGAATCCTTTTTCTTCAAGGTGCCAAATAAATATGAAAAGTGAATATTGTTCTGCTTTCTCACCTTGACTTACAATTTCATAAAATGTCCTGAGATCATTAAAAAAGATCTTTAATCTCTGAGTAAAGTCAAGGTCTGGTCCATAAAAACAATATCTTCATATAGAATTACCTTTAGCTTATCTAGAGTGTGGAGAAAATGACAGTTAACATTGATTAATCATTTATTAAGTGATGCTAAGTACTTTATGTTCATTATCTTATATCCCATTTAATCTTACAACCACCTTACAAGGTACTATTTTATTTCTGTTTTATGGATAGAGTGATTGAGACTTTGAGAGGTTAAATTTGACCAAGGATATCTCACTAATAAAATCTATGTCTACTGAACCCAAAACATTGTCATAGGTGCTGGGGAGCCCTTAAAGTATTTTAAGCAAGAGTGTGATATGTATATTTTAAAAAGACCTCATTTACAACTGTGTGGAAGAAGGAGTTGAAAGGAATAAGACTGAGGCACCGGAGTCTAGTCAGGAGGCCACTGACTGGTCCAGGTGTGGGATGATGGGGGCAATTAAGGCCTGAATAAGGGTAGAGAAGAAACAACTCAGCTTTGAGAACATTTTATGAGATAAAAATATTAGCATTTGATTTGGCTGCAGTGATGAGGAAGGACAAGATGATGTCCAAATTTTTGGCTTGGGTGACAAGGATGGACAGACTATATCATTCCCTTCTTTCTTTTCTTCCATTCCCTTGGAGTGATGCCATGTACTCGGAACAGGTATGAGTAGAAAATCATGAGTAGGATGATTAGTAGGTAAAAGGAGAGGAGGTTGAGGGAAGTGATATCTGCTGTGTTAAATGGGATGCAAGATAAGAGAGATGGGAGTCAAGAGAGTAGAGAAGGTTTGGAATGATTCTTGAGAGGAATTTGTGCTAACTGAAGATAGTGGTGGTTGTGCTGAGGTTTGAATCAGTTAATTTGTAGACATTACTCTGGCTGATTGTGTGATTTAATGTATTTCCAACAGTGATTGGTTAACCAAAAGTAGTGTAGTCAAGACAAAGTATAGCATTGTCCAGAGTTTGTGGTTTGTTGGTTAGGTGTGGCAACATGTTAGGTAGCAAGAGATGGTACTTCTAACAGAGTAGTTAGCATGATCGACATGGAATCCGGAATAGACGGGAAAGGAAGAAAGTCCAGAGGGCTCTCTGTGAGAAGGTTCAAGAGATTGGTGGATTCTTCTTGTGGGTGGGGGTGTGTGTGTGTGTGTGTTTTGCTCTCCATTTGTGTTAGACAGCTGGGGCTGCCATACCAAATACCACAGACTGGTAACTTTAATAACAGAAATGTATTTATTCACCTTTCTGGTTGTTAGAAGTCCAAGATCAAGGTATTGGCAGATTTGGTTTTTCCTGAGGCCTCTCTCCTTTTTTGCTGATGGCTGCCTTACAGTGTCCTCATATGGCCTTCCATTGGTGCCTTCTCTGGTTTCTACTTAGTATGTCCAGATTTCGTCTTCTGAAAGGACACCAGTTCGATATGATTAGGGCCCATCCTTATGACCTAATTTACTTTAATCACTTCTTTAAGGTCTTATCTCCAAATATAGTCAAATTCTGAGGTGCTAGGGATTGAGGTTTCAACATGTAAATTTGGGGAGTACACAGTTCAGTCTATATCATTCATTCATTGTAAATATGTATTAAAACTATATTGTATTTAGCATTTTAAATTATTTTGTATTGAAAATATTTTAAATATCTAGTTGACAAATAGCTGGAACTGCCTTCAATGTTGCTTTCTAAATCTTGCTCACAGTTTAAGATATTGCCAAAGAATAATGATTAAATCCACATTGAATTTCCTTGTCTACTTAAAAAAGTTATGTTGTCAGCTGACTTCCATAAGCACCTGAAATGAACATTATCAAAGTTATTTTAGGCTTATATATTTTCCCCAAATAGTACTCTTTTGTTCAAAGCAAAGTAAGTGACATGGCACCTAATGACTTTCAACCCTGGCTGCTGGTTAGACTAGCTTGGAAAGTGTTTTAAAATTACTGATACCTGACTGGACATGGTGGCTCAGCCTGTAATTGCAATACTTTGGGAGGCTGAGATGGGAGGATCACTTGAGCCCAGAAGTTCAAGACCAGCCTGGGCAACATAGTGAGATCTTGTCTCTACAAAAAACTTTAAAAATTAGCCAGACGTGTGCACTTGTAGTCCCAGCTACTCAGAATGTTGAGGCAGAAGGATCACTTGGGCCCGGGAGTTTGATGCTGCAGTGAGCTGTGATTGTGAAACTGCATTCCAGCATAGGCAACAGAATGAGACCCCAAGACTCAAAAAAAAACAAAGGAAAAAGAGAAAAAATAATTACTGATACCTAAACCCTACTCCCTAAAGATTTTGATTTTTAAAAATACAGTCCTACTAGATATATTTGACATATAATAAGCTGCATATTTCCAGTGTATAACTTGATGAATTTTGACATATGTATATACCTGTGGAATTATCACTGAAGTTAAGATAATGGACGTTTCCTTGTGCCATTTTATAACGACTTCTCCCACCCTACTATCGTCAAGCAACCGCTATGGAATAATACAAGAGATGCTTTATTATTATTATTATTATTATTAGATCTGGCTTGTTTTATTCAGCATAATTATTTTGAGTTTTCATCCATTTTTGTATCTCAATACAAAGAGATGTTTTATTGCTGAGTAGTATCCCATTGTGTGAGTATACCACAATTTATAAAGTCATTTGTTGATGGGACATTTGAGTTATTTCCAATTTGGAGCTGTTACAAATAAAGCTGATAAGACATTCTTGGACAAGTCTTTTATTTTGGTATTAGTTTCCTAGGGCTGCCTTAATGTGTTACCACAAACTGGGTAGCTTAAAACAACAGATGTTTACTCTCTCATAGTTCTGGAGGCTAGGTGTCTGAAATCAGGTGTTGGCTGGGCCATGATCCTTTTGAAGGCTCTAGGGAAGAGTCCTTCCTTCCCTTGTCCTAGCTTCAGAAGCTCTTGGCTCTTGGTAGTTGATGGTGTTCCTTGGCTTTTTAGCTGTATCACTCCATTCTCTCCCTCTGTCTTCACATGACCTTCTCTGTGTTTGTCCGTGTGACATCTGTTCTTATAAGGATGCAAATCTTTGGATTTAGGACTTGCCTTAATCCAGAATGACCTTATCATAGCTAATTGCATCTGCAAAGACCCTCTTTCTCTTTTTCTTTTCTTTTTTTTTTTTTTGAGTCAGTGTCTCACTCTACCACCCAGACTAGAGTGCGTTGGCATGGTCACAGCTCACTACAGCCTCAAATCCTGGCTTAAAGTGATCCTCCAGTCTCAGCCTCCAGAGTAGCTGGGACTATACAGGTGCATACTACTGTGTCCAGTTAATTTTTTTTTTCACTTTTTTTAAAGACAATATCTTGCCATGTTGCCTAGGCTAGTCTTAAATAACTGGGCTTAAGCAATCCTCCTGCCTCAGCCACCCAGAGTGCTGGGATTACAGATGTGAGCCACCTCATCCAGCCCAAAGACCCTTTATCTAAATACACATTCTAAGGTTCCTGGGAGTTATGAATTTTGAGGTGACACTGTTCAACTTATTACAGCTTTTCTTTCTCTTGGATAACTCTGTAGTACTGGAATGGTTGGGTCTTATGGTAGATGTGTGCTTGCGCGCATGTGCATGCATGTGTGTGTTTGTGTGTGTGTGTGTCTCTTTCAGAAACTGTCAAACTGTACCGAAGTGGTTGTACTGTTTTACATTCCCACCAGCATTATTTGAGGGTTATAGTAGCTTTATATCCTGTCCTTCACTTAGTATAATTAGTCTCTTTACTGTTAGATATCCTAATAGGCGTGAAGTGGTATCTCATTGTGATTTTAATTTCAATTTTCCTAATGACTCTTGATGTTGAACATCTTTCTGTGTGCTTAGTTGCCACTCATATATCTTCTTTGGTTAAATGTTTCTTCAGATCTTTTGCCCACCTTAAAAATTGAGTTGTCTTCTTATAATTTGTAAGAGTTGTTTATATATTCTTGATGCAATTCTTGTATCAGATATGTTTGCAAATATTTTGTTTTAGTCTGTGGTTACCTTTCATTTTTCTAACATAGAGCTTCTGATTTAATTACTCTGGCTTAGTGGATCCAAGCATTAGGATTTTCAGAAACTCCCAGATGATTTTAAAGTGCAGCCAAAGTCAAGAACAACTGCTTCTACAGGGCATGGTGGTTTGTGCCAGCACTTTAGGGAAGCAGAGGCAAGAGGATTGCATGAGGCCAGAAGTTTGAGCCCAAACCAAAGCATAGTGAAACTTTGACTGTAAAAAAATGAAAAAACTAGCCAGGCATAGTAGCTCACACCTGTAGTCCCTGTTATTCAGGAGGCTGAGGCAGCAGGATCTTTGAACCCAGGAGTTTGAGGCTGTACAGTGTACCATTATACTCCAGCCTGGGTGACCAATGAGGCCCTGTCTCTAAAAAAAGAAAGGAACAACTAAGAACAACTTTCTTTTTTG